CCTTTATGTCTAAAAGCATTTCTTTCAGACTTCTTTTTTTCTCTTTAACTAATCCACTTCATAGAAGTTTTTGATGTTCCTAATCTACATGTGCCATTTTTCCAGATGAAATGTGCTTCTTAAGTGAAAATCCTCTAACTTCACATGCAGTTATAGCTGGGGGATACAGAAGCTGTCTGAATTTAAATTCTAAGAATTTAGGCATGTTGGATTAGTCTACTGCTGGCTCCATTTTCTTTTTCAAGTTCATGGTTTTGTTTCCTAAATCCTGCTGTTCTACTTCATTGGCTTCACACAGTAATTTTTCAGTCTGATTTTAGCAAATTGAGATGTCTATCAAAGTGTTGCCTTTGTTGAGTCTGTAATATACTGGACAACCTCTTGCTCGGAGATTAGAAACATCCCAAGAGCTGAGTTTTCTTTGTGTTGTAGTTCTACTGCTACTGCACAGAGAAAGCAGCATTAGTCCTCTAGCAGCCTGGTGTGAGACAGACATACAGTCTTGTGGACATAATTCACTGGGTATAATTTTGTAACTCTTCAAAGTGTGAGCCTGCAGGGGATCTTAGGTTGATACTAAAAGGATACATTTGTGCATTTATATTTATGTGATGTGGACTAAGTTGATGGATTGATAGCCATAAAAAAATGAAAATTAATTGTTTATTAATTAAAGAAGAAAAAAGAGAAGTGACAAGTTTAGATGTCCATATTAATGCTTGGTAGCTAAAAGGAACAAAGATACACCTTAACACTGAGTTAGTGTGGATTCATTCCAGCTAAATGAGATAGCCTGAGGTAAAAGTATAACCACCTTAGTCTCCATACGTAACTTGAGAAGTCATGTAGGCAGCTACTAGGAAAAATTAGACCTTAAATAACCTTAACTGGCTTCTGAAAAAGGCCAGGTCACTCTTTTTTTTTTTTTTTTTTTTTTTTTATAAAGAACTAGTAGTGAATATATACTTGTGTTTATGACTCAGTGGTCAGTGAGAGAAATACAAGCTCTTACTCCTACTGTAGCTAGCCTTGCCTGGAGTATAGGCTGTTCTGGCAGGAGCTTTCAAATAATTTCTTCTCCAATTGCCTTCATTCCTTTTTTAAGCTCTATGTTCCACTTCTGCTTGAACATGTAGAGTCACAGAGTAGTCATATAATTCAGGTTCAGAGGGACTTCAGGAGGACTCTAATTCAACCCCTTACTCAAATTAGTGTCAAGTGTAAGCTTCAAACGTGTTGCCCAGGACTTTATCTGTTCAGGTCTTGAAACCCTCCAAGGATGCAGATTGTCACAGTGCCTCTGGGCAGACTCTCCTGCTGTTTGGCTGAAAGTAAGAACTATCCCTGATTTAATTTATTACCAGTGTTTATTTATTTAGTTATTTAGTTGGTTGGTTAGTTATTTTTATTGTCATGCAACTCCAGAAAGTTCTTGGCTCCCTCATTTTGAAATCTTCCTTTAGGCATTGGAAAGGTACTGCTATACACACCCAAAACATTCTTTTTTTCAATCTTACCTAGCCCAGCTCCTCCAACCTCTCCTTATAAGGGTGCACTCTCCAGCCCCAGTGATCTTGGTGAACTCCTACTGGACTCGCTTCGAGTTTGTTGATGTCTTTCTTGTATTGGAATGGACATGTTATTCATAATTGGACATAGAAGTCCAGATGTGGTCTAAAAATTGCTGCATAAAGGGAAATAATGTGAGCTCCTTGTGATCTTGATAACTATTACCATTCAGAATCCAGGAAGAACATGAAACAAATCTGGAGCCTATTTAGTTTCTGCTAAATCTGAAGAGAATGAACTCTCATCTGCATAAGAGCTCCCTGGCAAGCCCTGTCACCCTTGTCTAACAAATCCTTTCTCTAAAAAATGTCAGCACATTTCTTCCTTTGTTTTTCTCTCATTCCACAATGTATTGGGTCTGGCTGAGATGGAGTTCATTTTCCCATAGCAACCCTCACAGTGCTGTGCTTTGCATTGGTAGCTAGAAAGGTGTTGATAACACACCGGTGTTTTGGCTACTGCTGAGCAGCACTGGCACAGCATCAGCAGCGTAACATTCCTTTCCCAGTTGAAGGCAAGATCCTGGGAGAGGACACAAGTAGGCCAGCTGACCCAAACTGACCAAAGGGATATTCCCATACCATATGACAGCTCAGATATAAAAGCTAAGGAAAGGAGGAGGAAGGGGGGCATTTGTTGTTTACAATGTCTACCTGCTGAGAAACTGTCATGCATACTAAAAGCCCTGCTTCCCAAGAAGTAGCCAAACACCACTTGCCAATGGGAATAGAGAACAAACTTTGTGCACATGCAAACTTTTTGCTTTTTGCTTTACTAAACTGCCTTATCTCAACCTACAAGTTGTTTTCTATCTTACTCTCCTCTGTCCGGCTGGGAAGTGGAGTGATAGAGTGGCTGGGTGGGCACCTGGCATCTAGCCAAGGTCAACCTACCACACATGAAGATATATAATACCTGCAAAAATAAACTTTTTTGGAATTGGCAATAAGTTGCAATGTGAAGAACAAAGAAAAGCTTAATGAAATTAAAAGACAGATGAAGTGAACCAAAGTGAAAAGAACCTCAGTGGCTGACTCACTAGAGAAAGCATTGACTCAAAATTTCTGATCCATGGGATAATAGAATTCAGCAGCTTGAAATGAATAACTACAATATGTAAATTTATAATAATTAGGACAAAGTTCACATGGGGACTTACAGACATCACAAGCACAAAGAGTGAAGCAACTCCCTTTTTCTGTTAGAGAGATTTTTATAGGTTTGCAAGTGGGAAATGGTTTGTTAATAGCATTGTGGCATTTTACAGCAGGCCAGAGAGCTCACTGCCAGAGAGAGTGTGTTGTATTTTCTTAGGTAATGGCTCTGATGGAGGGACAGGAACCAGTTTGCTAAACACAGAGGTGGCAATAATTGTTTGGTTTCAAATAAATCCTGGTAGAGTTATGTGATCTCATCTAAGTACTGTCCAGATGCCCTTCCTTGTTCCTTTCATATGCTTACTGGCTTTGGGTTAGTTTAAAGATGCCCCACTGCTTCTCCTGTATCTCCTATGCCAGTGAATGTCTTCAGGTGAGCAAAGAGTGAAGGATGGAATTTTTTGGGATGCTGATAAGTAAGGGTAAGTGAATAAACCTGTGTTTACTTCTCACATTCAAAATAACAATGGGTGAAGCATAAGTGAGACTGTCTTTCTGTGTTAGCAAGAAGACAGATATCAGGATTTACATTTCTTTCTGCCTGATGGTGCCGTAACTGCTGGTCAGATACAGCAGTGATGTTTTTAAAAGGCAGGGTGAGACAAATTTGTGCTGCCATATTTATGTTTGCCATTGCTGAAAACCAAATTAATAAGAAGAAAAAAGCACTTCTTTGAAGATGAATATGAATCTGTGTAGCTTGTGGTGGTGTAACATGTTTTTCTTACTGCAAATATGCATCCTTACTGATTCTACACACTTTATGGATTCATGCTGATTTCATATTTTAATAAATTTTTAGGCAGATCTTGCTGGTTTCATCTTTCTCCTTCTCCTTTTTGCCTTTTTCTTCATCCCCTTTCCCAGCTTTCCCATACTCATTAGGTGTTCATTATGGTTTTTTTATTGGTCTTTTAAATTTTCTCTAGCACCAGGTCCTGTAACTGGTGGCTTTGTCATATAACTTCTAAAATTAGAATGCTTTGGCGGTTGTGGACTGATCTTAGCAGATTTTGCCAGGAAATTTTTCATGGTAAAGCAGAAATTGCTGTACGGATACTTTCAGGATATGTACTGGAGTTGTTACAAGATTTGTAAAGAGATAGAAGAACTGAAATACTGCAACAAGACCATGACTCCAACTAATGCAGTTCTCTTCTTCCAACATTGTGTTCTTGTCAGCCAAATAATGACAATACTGAGTTAAAGATTTCAGGGTCTGGTATTGGACAGTGATTCACTGAAAATATAAGAGCACATATAAACCTTACTGTTGCATACTAGGATTTTTTTCATTAAAGTGAATTGAATTTGTCCTCTATGTGTCCAGTTCTGGGCTTGTCACTACAAGACAGATATGCACACAATGAAGAGACATCAAGAGAGGGCTACGAAGATGTTAAGGGCCTGGAACATCTCTTCTATGAGAAAAGATGCTATTCATTCTAGAGAAGAGAAGGTTCAGGTGGAAACTCATCTATATGTATAAATACTTGGTGGGAGCATGCAGAAAAGCTGGAGCCAGTCTCTATTGAGTATTACCCAGTAATAGAGCAAAAGTCAATGGGCACAAACTGAAACACAGGAGGTTCCCACTGAGAATCAGAAAACACTTTTTTACCATGAGGATGACTGAGCACTAGTGCAGGTTGCCCAGAGAGGTTGTGAAGTCTCGCTCCTCTGAGCTATACAAAAAACACTTGGACGTGGTCCTCAGCAAGCAGTTCAAGGTGTCTCTGCTTGAGCAAGTGTGAGATGACCTCCAGAGGTCCCTTCCAACCTCAACTGTTCTGGTATCCTATGTTTCTTTGTTATTTTCCCAGTAATGAGAAACTTTTAAGGAAATCTCTCCCCTCTACAGTAGCTCTGTTAAAGATAATGAGGAAGTTATCACATTATTGGAATCAACTATTTTAACATGTAATCAGAAGCTGTTTTAAAGAATAAAAGTAGGCTACACCATCAGAGTAAAAATGAGAGCTCTTTTTAGCTTCAGAACAAGTGAGTGAACATTGAGGTAGCTATCTGCTAATATAAGTAGTGGAGCTGCAGCTACAAATGGGACATTTAAAGCTATTTGTGAAGGAAAGTACAGGGGTTTTTTTGGCTGTGTCATTATAGTACATAGAAAAAGACAGGTCTTTCATGATGGCAAGACTTTGACTGAGAACAAGTGGTTATCTGCAGATCAGGTGAATCTGAACAACAATACTAAGCTGCTGAAAAGAAGTTTTTTCACTTTTTAAGTTTATCTCTCTTTTTTATTTCAAACAGTGGAAGCTCTACATTTAGGAACATTGATGGCAGCACATGGCTATTTCTTTCCAATCTCAGATCATGTTCTAACACTGAAGGATGATGGCACCTTTTATCGATTCCAGGTAGGTATTTTCAATATGTTCTTGACTTTCACAAATGGAGACTAATATTAAAAGCCTTGCACAAAGGTTCACAGCAAATTTTAATGGTGAAAATTCCCATACAAGTAAGAAATGGTAGAAAGAATTGATTTATAAATTTTCAACAAAGTGTTAAGATGATAATGACCATTTTGATATCTGGAAAAAAGTGTGCTAATACTAAGTGTGGAAGTATCTCTCATGAAATAAATTTACATAATATTTTGGAAATATAATAAAGCAAATTAAATTATCTTCTTGACCCTTCTTCCTAGTATAGTCTTAATTTGGAAAGGGGGAAATATTTTAATTATTAAGCCTATAGCAGATATCTGATAAATAATGGAGGGCAATATTTATTTTCCTTGTTATGTGAGGATTTCCTTACTGGTGACTGAATAGTATTGGAGTAGTGTGTATTCTTCTAACGAGTGCAGACACATTTGTACATCGATCTGTCAGTCCCATTGCCTAAAACAAACATGTAGATTCTTCAGAACAAGCTGGAAGTATTTATATATGTATGTATGTATGTGTGCCGATACTTACAAGTATATTATTCAGATACCTACACAGTTGTGTTTTATTATATTACTGAGGGCCTGGGAGCAGGAGTGTTTTTTTTCCTAATAATAAACAGCAGGCTAGAATTTTGAAGAACAATACTGCCATGACTTGAAGCAAATATGGTGGCAAAATACCAGCTTATGTATTCTAGAGAAGGAACTAACTTTGCTTGCCATCTACCACCTTTGGCAATGGTGGTGTTATTCTATATTGCTCTTCTTATTAGGTGATCTTTCTGGTAAGTATCACCAGCAACTGGTCCAAGATCTTGCCTAGATATTTATTGCTTTGAAATGGTATGATGATTACCACTATAAAATTGAGTTTGGTAGTTCTGCTTTGTTACTTCTAATTGTGTTAAATACTTACAGAATAATAATATCTGGTAGAGCAAAATGTATTGTCTTCAAAACAATAAACAGTGTCTTAAAGATTGTTTAAATAAGAAGACATCAAGAATAAAATTAAACTAAGACTGTGATCTTTAAAATTCAGAAGAGAACTGTGACACATTGGAGGTCAATCATAGTCTCAAACATTGTATTATATTAATCACTGTACAATCCTTTCATCAATACTTTGTCTTAAGTTCTATAGATCCATGTAAGGGAAGAGAACGGCTTGTAATATTTTTTTAAACCAGAATCTTTGAATGTATATAACTAAATACACACATCACAGTCTGGCAAGAAAGAGAATTATTATTGCATACCTGCAAACAACATTATCATATTTTCATATTTAGATCCTGTGAGTCATACAGTGCAAAAAACTTGACCTTCAGCAGAACAGAAAGTTAGAAGGGTAATACAAAGAGCTGTCATTCCAAGCCTTCTCCCCTAGATCCACAGCTACCTTTGACCCTGGTGAAGGTATTTGAAGGAAAAGGTTTATTTTAAGCTCATGGGGCTTCATTTTCCTCAGTTTTCAGTATAAAGAAGAGAGATGGCACATGACTTAAGGGGCTTATTGATGAGGTGAATGGAAAGGAATCATGGAGTGATTGAGGCTCCACTTGCTGGCTTGTTTCCTGCATAAGCAGAGGTCAGAAGGACAAAATATCCAAGGACTTAATTTTGCAGAGCATAGTACTTAATCATAGGAGTACTAGCCATTGAATTCTTCACAGCTGCTGACCTGCTTCTATCTCAAGTATGGGAAATAAGCACCTCTGCTGGCATGATAATTCTACTGAAGTAAAGTACAGGCTAGAATTAGCTTCACTGTGAACCACTGAGATTACTGTAGCTACACTGCTGTGAGCTTTCCTCAGAGAGGTCTAGAGCCTACATGTTTGGACCTGAGTATTAAGTATTTGGACATGAAGCTTCAGTGAAGGCTAGATTGTAAACTTTTATCAGTTTATTTACATAAGTAAAGAATTCAGCACCTGTTTGACAAACATGTATGAAATAAGATGGCTTTCCTCGAGTGTGGCTTGGTCTCTATCTGCAGTGTTTAGGTTGTTTGTTGTTCTGTGATAACCTTTTGCATTGCTATTTCTATGCTAACAGTGATAAAACAATGCAACTTTAGCTGTCAATGTATGGCATGAGAAAAAAATTCATAGCTGTATCAAACTGGAGTTATAACTGGAGTTATAACTGATGTTATAACAGCAAAATTCATTTGATTACAACTCCACGTTCCCCAACAAAGTAAGGCTTGCGTAAAATCTCTTACTGAAACTGTTAAATTGGAAGACGAAGAGAGCATAGTCACTGGGGAGGAAAGTTTGACTGCAAATGTGTGAATTTTGTACTAGAACAGATGTTCAGGTGCTTTGGAAATGGTGCCCTCTGAGTATTGGACAGGATTCACAAATTTCTGGATATTTTAATAGAAAGAGAAAACTGTGCATCTGCCAGCACTGAAAAGTTCAGAAGCCATTCCTGCAGAGAAATCTCTGCAATACAGAGAACTGTCCTACAAAAACAGACTAGCTGTAATAATGATCTCCATGCACTTCATGTTTTGTTTTCCAAAGGGTGACACATTCCCTCCTGACAGTATTACATCCAGTTTGTTTTAAACAACCTTCTTTTCTATAGAAATAGATAAAAGCAGTGGAGTTTTTTTGCTTCATTTGAACAAATGCCATTTTAGAGGCAAAAATTATACTTTTTCAGTTATTACTCTTACCATCAGGAGGCAAGAGTATAGTTACATCTGCTTTTTTAAATAATGTGAAATAAAAAAAATAATTCTGGATCATTCTTTGACCTACTCAGGTGTTAATTAGGTTAGTTTATGTGATACCAATTTAATTCAAAGGAGATGGATCTAAATATTAATTGCGTTATTAAGAGATTTTTTTTTTATTATTACTTTCAATAAGGAAAATGAGAAAAACTGAATTGCCTTTTCCTGGTAATTTAAGACCGGGACCAAAGAAGGAGCTAAATACCTGCTAACCCCCTTCTTCTACCTGAGAATAAATAGATATGAGGGGCCCAAATAAGAAAAGCAAGCTGTACCTTAGAAATCAGATTGTCTCTGGACCAGGGATTACTCATTGAGACCTTTCATCTGTGTCCACGTATGTTTGTTCTGGTGAGGAATGCCCGACTTGCCCTCTCAGCTGGTAAACTTCTGTAACAGCATCCCAGGAAAAAAATATGTTGATTTCCTCTACAAGTTCCAAATGCATTCTAATTGTCTTGATGTTAATAGTGATATACAATCTTCCTACTGTCTTTTGGCTTTAAACAAACTTCTAGGACACTTGAGATTAGTGATAGTCACACCTCCTTTTCATAAATTAATTTTCAGAGATGAGGGTTAGGTTTTGCTGTTTGTTTTGTGACTTTTAAGATGAAAGGCACAAATAACTGAGAAAAAGTGTGAAAATGGGAATAGTTTCTTGTGAAAGCACGAGTCTGGTGAAGATAGCAGCAAACTCATGTACCTTGGCAAGATGAAGATGTGGACTGTGACGTCTTTTCCTGTTCTACTACTGGGAACACTTTCTTGACAAATGCTTTAAACCTTTCTGGCTTTGTTTTCCTAAATTGGGGCTAGAATTATATAGCAATCACTGTAAGGATCTTGAAATATCTTTGCTGCAAAATAGCTTAGAGTGTGAAGTGCTGTGGATCTTCATGTCTCAAGTGGAATGACACTGCTTTATGCATCTCTTTGAGTCATCTTTACCTACCTAGCTACCTCTTGGCTCAGTCCTGGGCCAGCCTCTAGCCATTCTGAGTACTGAGTCTGTGACTGAACATCACAACCCTTCAGCCACTCTCCAGAGCCTTGCTGGATCATCTACTGTGCCTTGAAGGAAGGATTTTATTGGGAGCCAGATTTTAGAAACAAAAAAGAAACAGATTTTCTTATCCAGCATTTGGCAGATTTTCTTTGGCAATTGCAGGTGTAATGACTAATTCATTGTCTCTTCAGCTCAGGCTCAGCATATACAGATTATGTTTAGGTTTCAGAGGGAAAATGATTTCAAATCCACATGTCTTTCTGACTTCCCTTTATTCTTTATTAACTCCTTAGGCAGACACACTTTCCCCCACACTGCTTTCTATGCTCCTACCCCTTTCAGGTTAGAAAAGAGAAGTCACAGAACCAAAATTTTGTTTACAAATTCCTCAAACTCTTTTTTCATGATTTTGAGCTAACCATGCAGCACTACTTGCTGGGTCCTTCCTCTGTGAGCTTGACAGTGCTAGACTAGCAATCTTACCCTTTTCCTTTACCAGGAGATCATTTGTGTCAACTGCAATGAATTTAAAACAGAATGCCTGTGAATTTTGCCACCCGTCATGCAAAGTATTTGAAATTGTGCATAACTACTTTTCAGCAAAGACTTGATTTCTGCAGTTTATAAAGGCTCCCTGGTGCCTATGAGAAGAATAGCAGTAATATGCAAAGGTTTATAAGTGATTTGAATATTCCTCCCCTATCCAAGTAATTGGATTTTAAAAAATTCCATGGAGTGCAGCAGCTTCAGAGGCAACAACTCTTTTTTTTATTACTATCAACAAGGGGTAACTGAAAGGTGCTTAATGATTTCCCTTCTCAGTAATACAGTTTAATGCATAGAAATTAATCATGTTTTATAAAAGCTGATGGGAAACACTGATTTTTACAAGTGACTGTTTCATTAGCTCAGATATTATTATTGATTAATTTTGTGGTAGAGCCAAGGCAGATCTATTTGCTTTATTGCAGGATTGCTTATGATGCATATGCATTATGCGTGCCAATTTGTTTATTGTGGAATATGTGCTACATTACAAGATTTAATTTCATATGACTTTATTAATAGGAGAATTATGGATTTCCATGGCTAGGTTTACTTAATGATATTAATGTATAATGCAAGAGAACCAGTATGCATTTGTGTGTACAAAACCAGTTTTCTATCAATGGCAGAAAGATTCTTGTAACAGCCTGTTTTGTTC